ATACATACATATAAAACCGCCGATCAACCACTTGAGCGTGTGTCGATTGTTTGAGAAGGGCTTCTCTGCAGACTCAAAGTAGGCGTTTCTCAAGTGTAAACACTAACTGGCTAGTTGTATTTGCTCTGTTTTTGGAAAAGGTTGGTTCTTCTCTTTTATTTTCCTTTCACTTTAACTAATTTCACAATAATTTTAGCAGCCAAAACAGATTTTTTATATATATAAAATTGCAATGTATCATTAGAAACAAACATTCAGTTCTCCCCAGTTCTCAATATCTCAAAAGAAATAAAAAAAGAAAAACAATCACTTCCGACTGATGTTGCTCTTATTTTGAAATGTAACCGGGAGTTTTTTGTTAAGCGAAGTGGAAATAATGAACAAAGACGTGTCCAACTTTGGCGGCGTCTTTATATAAACATATAATAAAGTCGGGCTAACATAATGTGCCGGCTGTTATTATTTCCAAGTCCTCTGATGACCTCGGTAACAACAACAAATTAAACAGCATTTTCTTTATTTGGAGCCCAAACAGTGTTTTACAATTCAACACAGCTAATCCTTTATGATCAGATATGTCCAAATGTTGTGTTTTCTGTCTATTAAGTCAAACCATCTTGTAAATGTTGGAAGTAAACATGATAAAAACAGCTGAAGAGCTTCAGGTTTCTTGTCTTTTTCTTGTAGATTTACATCTTTTACGGTACAAGATCCAACGCTGAGTTTGTCATCCACAACGGCTTCTTCTTCCAAGACAACATCCACGACCGAGTGAAGATCAAGCTGGGTGTCAGTAAGAGCGAACGTCTGTACGCCATGAAGGCTGAGGTTCTGGGTCGAGCCGGCATCCCAGCGTGAGTTCCTGACCTGCCTGTGTTTCCTTTAAATATGGTTTTTATTTCTTTATACAAACATCCCTCCCCTTCTGTTTCCTCTGCTCCATCTCTGTCCTCCTCTGTAAGCTCACACACAAACCTTTAATGTGGGTCAGTAGAAGCTTCAGGCTCTCCACTAACTTCATGCACCTTTTATAAAGCTGCACTTTTGTCTTCTAACACAATATTTCATCCAATTAGACCCCACTCTGGCATAACTGAAGCATATAACATAAATGTTGCAGCACTTTTTCTTTTACCTCCTACCCCACCAAGTACAAAAAATTAGTCATCCGCCCCAACACTTTCATCATCAAGAAGCTTAATCATTTTATCATTAGCCCTTTAATTTTATGCAGCATTCTCTGCTCGGCATTTTTAATCAGAACCCTTTAATCTCTTATTGATGACGGTTTAAATCTCTACAGTGGAAATTAAGTGAAACAATTCCCGTTGTTGCCGCAGCACTCAATTAAATTGTTAGATTTAAATGAGATTAAATTGTAGATCATTTTTCAAATTCCCAATCAGACCTCGCTGACGTGTCGAGTGTCTGTTATCGTCCCCCTCTTCCTGCGACATGCACGTCTCTCTTTTGTGGAAAACTTTTGAACACAAAGTTCAGCAAGTTGAAGAGGAGCGCAGGTCTGGACTGAGGGATAATTTAATGGGAAAAATGAGAGGCTGCTGTGAAATCCCACCATCATGCTGCTGACTGGCTCATGGATCACTTCAATGAAACAAGAGACAATCTGTCAGTTACTCCTAGATTATATCCCACGTCTCATGTTCAAGTKTTCAGCTTTATAGTCTAGAGCAGGGGATAAATATGTTATTGCTGTTATTTCTGTCACAATTTTTGTTATTGCTATAAAATTGTTCACATTTTTACAATTTTTTAAACACATTTTAAATATCTGTGCTATTTAAAATACATTCAACACATTTTCTTTTTATCACCTTCATCACAATTATTATAATGCTTTGTGGCATTTATAAAATGTTGAAGTAAATGTTTAGCAAATAATGTCTAATGTTAGAAATAGTGAACTTAAAGGGATCCATGATTTGTTGTAACATTAGACTTTATTTGATAAAAAATTATTTTAACTGTAAAATAAAGACTGTAAAAATACTGTAGGATGTTCAGTTTTGTAAATTTTTAAAAACATGTTTTAACACGGACGGAGCCATTTTATTTACTGTACACACAAAGCATTCTGGGTAAATGATGACATGGATAGGTCCTCGGTGTGAGAGCAAGCTATATCCACCCTGAAGGTTAACCTTGGACAATATCTGATGATCGACTCTTTTAAATGAAACCAGAGAGCGTTGACAGAGAGGAGAAGGTAGAAATGACTCAGCCTGYAACTGAAAATATGGATGGAGGACAACAGAGCTGCTTCATGGAAGAACCTCAGCTTAGCTTGTTAGCATTAGCGCTGACACTATATTGCCTTATATGTATTAGCTCAGCGCTAGCCCGACAAAATAACTAAAATGAGGCCCTCCATCCATATTTTCAGTTCCAGGCTGAGTCATTTCTACCTTCTCCTCTCTGTCAACGCTCTCTGATTTCATTTAAGAGTCGATCATCAGATATTGTCCAAGATTAACCTTCAGGGTGGATATAGCTCGCTAGCAGCCTCACACCAAGGACCTATCTTATTTACCCAGAATGCTTTGTGTTTAAATAAAATGGCTCAGTCCATATTATACATTTTTAAAAATTTAGTTTAAAAATTATAAAACCTGAACATTCTACAGTATTTTTAGTCTTTATTTTACAATTAGAATAAATATTTATCAAATAAAGTCTAATTTTACAAGTAATCATGGATCCCTTTAAAGGTTCAGTGTGGATCAGTTGGTGACATCTAGTGGTCAGTCCTGGTAAAATCCCCTGCTGTCAGCATCAAACTACATGTGTTTCAGTAAATCATGTCAAGAGAAAAAAGTAACTTTGATTTCACATTAAAACTTTTATTCCTCAAAGTAGTTTCCTGTAGAAAAAGCTGTGTCTTGTTTTCTCCTCTCTGTGTTCTCTCTTTTGATCCTCCTTTATAACAAAATACCTCCACAGAAACGTTGTTCTGGCTCCTGGAATGGGACTGATYGTTGGTCTGTTTTACTTTCAGGTCCTGTGTTTTTACTCTGCACTGTAATGAATCTCCAATTTCAGCCCAGATGCTGGCCTTCCTGAGAGTCTTCTGCATGACGGAGGGTAAGAAACACACAAACACACCATGAAATACCAGCTGCTGGACATCACCCATCCCCAAGCTGCAAACATGCTCACAACCAACAAAGCATACGTTTTATTTATTTATTTATTTATTTATTTTACATTTGGAGCATCGCCGTATGACTGCTTCCTCCACGAGAGATGAAGTCGATGTGGAGCAAGAGCAGTCACTGGGGACGAACGAGGCCCGTCCGTTCGGAGCTGGTTAATTGATCAAGGCAGGCCACCAGATGTGTGGAAGGAGCAATCCGCKGTGGGGTTTGCAATATTCATCTACATGTATGCATAAAGACACCGATGTCATAAATCCCCCGTCACACGAGGCCACATCCTCCTCCATCTCAGGACTCACTTTCTGGACCCCRTGTGATTTATTATTCAGATTTCTGCTGCATGTTTTTTTTTCTTCTTTTAAGCCCCATTGCCTTTGGATCTGAGCTTGAGGGTATGGTTTGTAGCTTGTGTGTAAGTGTGTCAACATTTCTTAACAGATGTGACATGATGGAAAAGTGTGCTCACACAACTGGGGCACCGCACCTCTCCTCTTTCATCTTCCAGTGTTTGCTTTTCTAAAGTTCAGGTCCGGAGTTTAGAGCAGCAGCAGGGTGAGGTTAGGTCCTGAAMCGGTTTATTACATCTTTGAGAGTTGAATTAAGAATCGGATCACACATGAAGATGACTGGGCTTAAAACCATCTGTTCTACATGAATCCTGAAGAATATCTGCAGTCACAGCTCCAACAAAACCCGTGCACATGAAAATAGATTTTRAAAGAACAAGACATTTTAAAGCTTTGTCAATATAGCAGACATTTTATTTAGCTATAATTTCTCCAGTGTGCCTCTGATGAAATGTAAGCTATTTAAGTAAAGTAAGTAAAGTTTTATTTATATAGCACATTTCATAGAAATAAATTCACAAGGTGCTGTACATTCAGGGAAGCGGGGAGGCGGCAGTTAAGAAACACCCATTCAAGAAGACWTACAAGACAAACATGGGGGAACAGGTGAAACCGGTCATGCAGCAAACACAGTTGCACTACCTTTAACAACAGCTTGAAATACACAAAAGGAAAATTGAGTTTGGGGGGGCTTAGGTCAGATAACACATAAAGGGGAGGTGAAATGAGGCGGGTTCAGAGGAGTAGGTGATGTTGAGGGAGGGGGTTCCGTGCTAGGCCCAACCCTGGGCCCATCCAGAGTCACATGATGTTATCGTCTCTACTCAGTTCGCTAGAGTTCAGAGATTTTCCTCCTCCTYAGCCAATTGAGTTCCAAGGCCGGGTTCAACACGGGGAATGAGRTTGTGAGCGAATCCAGCTCTTAATTGACATTCCATTCTGGGGAGGTTAAGATAAGCGTAGCCCTCAAGGCCATGCCGCTGGGAGCCAGATAGATAATCCAATTGTTTTGGAACAAAGCAGCCTTGAATTTCCTGCTGCTTTTGACGTGTCTTTACTGCAAACTCTGAGGTGGCAAAAAAAATCAGCCAAATTTGGGGTCATTCCTCACCTCTCACYRTTTGAAGCTCACCCAGATGTAGTCCATACATGCCGAAGGGTCGCTCCTGAGCTGTGATCCTCGTCAGAATCACATCCAGTTTGCAATTTTTTCCCCCAGCTGAGAGTCTGTGTGCTACCAACCTGGCAGAATTCTTCCAAGTACGAGCAACAGCTCTTCAAAGGCCCGATCCACTGTCAGGGTCGCTTTCACTTTTTGATAAATCTGGAGCCKYCCTCCACCGATCAGCAGGAATCCAGTTATCGTAATCCAAATAAATAATGACCTTCCATGTCTTCGATGGAAAGTGGTGCTGGCATATCAGATTCCAGCCCCAGGAATCAGACAAATCCAGCAGCAACCATTCCACCCAGACAGCCACGTTCCCCTCGTTCCAAGTGTGGGGAAAACCCAATAAATACCATGGCTAAATTAAATTTAACTGTAAATTGAGGAGATTCTAACGTTTGTCCTAATTTCAGAGGAACTCAAGGACTATCTCCTGGTCGATCGTGCCATCAACAAGATCTTCACTCTGGGTAACAGTGAGTTTCCTGTCAGTTGGGAAAATGAGATAAAGTTGTGGACTTTCCTTGAGAATCGAGCCACTCTGCTGCTCAACACCTACAAGACCACATCAGAGGTGAGTTTGCTGGAGGTTATCTTGATGTTTGGGGTGCGTTTATGTTTGAGGGGTTTAGTTAAATTAAAATAAGCCCTGGTGTGAAGTGATGTAATGTTTTTAAACATTCAAAGAAAGCTCAACATTTCAACATTAAGTAATTAAGATTCAGTGGAAATACATTAAAGGACAATCTGCAAGTGAAAGCACATTCTTAAAGAGCTTGTGACATCATTTTTTTTCTAATAAATATGAATGCATTTTTGGGATGATATCTTTGATAACATATTTCAAAATAAATTTCACACCACTGAGGTGAACAGCTGTTGAGAWAGTTGCATGTGAAGAAACAGGAAGTGATGTCAAAGAGGATTGTCTGCATAAAAGAGCATTGCTACAACAGCTAACAACACAATGTAGAGAAGAATCTGATGTTTCTTTAGATTATTTTGAGTCTCTTTCAGAGAGGAAGTCAGTTCAAATAATATTGTTTCAGTAAACAAAGACCAGAGTTTTTTTTCTTAGAGTTTCCCTTTGAGGTCACTTCCTGTTTCACTTTGACTGAGCCAAATTCAAAAGAAAATGTAACAAAATGGATAAAATCATGTGTGTTATGCCAAGTTTCAAGTTCCTTTTGACTTTTTGTGTTTGAAGGATAAGCACATCACAGGATCTTTAAATTCTGCCRTTTTATTGATCAAAGTATTCACACCTGATAGTCCGGTACACTCGGTTCGATTGAGAAGGTTGAGTCATTGTTCTGTTTTAAACTCTACTTTAGACGGTTAATTAATTAATAATGTTTTACTATTATCGTTACTTCCTCTTTTAAGTTGTCCCACACAATGAGTCAATCCGACCAATCACAGTTAGGGCCAACTCGGCCCACAGGACAACATGTACTGCATCTAAAATGTGAATTCAACTTAAATACTGTAATTTATTTGACAGCTTTCCGTTTCTTCCAGGAGGATCGGTCTTTGTTGGAGAAACCGGATCTGTCTCTCCACTCCCGCCTGGCCATCCAGCTCCGCCTGGCAGAGAAGCAGATCCTGGAGAAGACATCAGCCATCGGTCGGGCCAAGCGTCTGCTCTTCCAGGAGAAGCTGGAGGAAGGAGCCGCGTTGCCTCGGTTCGAGGAAAGCGACATCGCTCTRCTGGAAAACAACGACTCGGACGCAAAGCTTCCCATCATCTTACGGAAGCTGGAGGAGGTGGAGGAAGGTCAGGGGGTCCAGGTGGGGGAGCATCTCCTCCTGAACGGGGAGAAGTTGACCTGTGAGACGGGCACGGAGACGAACGGAGACACGGAGACGGAGGAGACTCGGAAAAGAGATGTTTGTTCATCTGGAGGTCCAGAGCAGAAAGACCAAACGGAAACGGCTGACCTAAGTGCCAATCGAACTGAAGAGCATCCCAAAGAAAGCARTGAATAAATCTCTTCTGCCACAGCTCGCGCTATTTATTTATTTTTGTGTCTCTTAAATGACTCAGAAATATAGAAGCTGAAAAAAAAGAACTGTATGTTTATCCAGCGTGGCTTTCTTTAGATGTCTGCTGCTGAACGCTTTGATTAAAATTAGCTTTGGGTTAAATTGTAAAGATAGATAAACGAGGCTGGGTGAGGTTTCAGCAGAGAGTTCTCTAAAGACAGAAAGAAAAAGTTACTACRTGTTTTGTTTTACAAAGCTCAAACCTCCTTTGTTTTGTGACTCGGTTGGTTTACGGCAGCGCTTTGTCTCCACATGGTTTGTTTTTGAGTTGACAATCATATTTTCTGGCTCCTTGTGGATTGTGCTGCTGTGCAACAATCATCACTGCCCTCCCTTAAAACATTTCAGAAGCACGGCCCTTTTTGTTTGAGTTGATGCCGGCGGTTCAGGGAGACAGACTGAGATGAAAGATGTATTTTTGCTTAATTATAGTTTAAAGATGTTTCTGTGAATGTATCTTGTGTGTAAAGCTTCAGTGATTACCTTAAAGCAGGAAGGATCACTGGTGATAAAGCCATATTCAGCACTGAGCACTCAGTGATAGAAGAATGTTGTGCCATTTTTATTTGAATTTTTTTCCTAGTTGGAAGCTCCTTTTTTTTCTTGAATTATTGTCAAYGTGATACTTGGAAAAAATAAGAAAACTGCTGTTTTTCTCTGCCTGGGCGGTGTTAATTCTTGGACTGGCCCCAGCAAATTTCTCTGACTGAAAACACGACAGGTGGTCCAATCTGGAGAAAATTAAACAGTTTTAGCTCGAAATGTTCAAAAATCGACAGTTTGAACTGAATAAGGGTTTTATCAGGACTGTTAGAATGTGGTGCGTTGATGTTTTCCATTAAAAAAATCTGACTTTATAAAACATCCCAGGATGTCATATTTTCTCAACCATAGTTTTTTTTTTATATTTTGTCTTTTTGTTTTGCACAATTTCAGCATTTTCACTTTGATTTATATGCTGCACAGAGGAAAGAGAAATGTTTGAACTTGAACCAAAGCCAATGAGAAATTCTTGGTCCTTTTTTTATATAATGAAGAATTTTCATAATCTTGAAGAAGTTTGACTAAAACAAATTCTTTAAACTACTGATGGGAGTTTTTGGAGTTTCTCCAGCCTGAGGGGAAGCATCAGYCACAGAACTGTAGAGATGTTCATTGATTGGTGCAAACTTTACCTTTTAGGAATAAAACATTAGACTTTAAACTTCAAACCCACAGAAATGTAGTGGCTGCATTTATAATCAGATTAATAAAACTGCAGGTGTTCCACACTGTGATGTTTAAAAAAAAACCATGATCACATGAGAACTCTGGGAAGGTTTGCWTTTTATGTCCATGAAAATCCCAGTTTTCTTTTATCAATCTGAAAAATCATGCGTGTGTGTATATATTTGTAAAAGCCCTGTCACACTAGAGCAGTGTTTCCCAAAGTTGGGGTC